TCTCTCTCTCTCTTTTTTCTCTCCTCTTTCCTGATTCTCAATTACTTGAAAGGCAGAGGCATTATTAGACACATGGAATATAGAAAACTTTCATACACAATTCTCTCTTCTCTTTTCTTTTAAATATATGTTAAGATATACATAACATAAAAGTCAACACTCTCAAAGTAAACACAAAATAACAGAAATATTAATGTTAATAATTTCCTATTCAGCAATGTAACTGTTATGTAAATGTTATCATATTTACATAATACATTTATATATATTATATTACATTTACATTGCTAAGTGGCAAATTATTAATGTAACATTACTTTTGGCTTATGTTTACTAAATTTACATTTGAACTTATCTTGCGTATAAAAGTATTTCGATATTTAATTGGCATTTTGTGACAAATACAATGCGATTATTTTTTATCTCACGTCTTTTAGATTTTCACTACTTATTATATTAGCTATCAAAGCAGTTTTTACGGCAATAACATAAATAAAATTAATGATATTTAGGAGACGTTTGTGCAGAAAAGAAATGAAAATGACAATATAATCATACATGATATATGATGAAATATTAATGACACGGCTAATAGTTTATAATAAATTAAATTATAATATTTTGAGAACAATTATGTATCTGTGTAAAATATGAAATTTTTGAAGTTTACAATTTATGCTTTTACTTTAGTTTTGGTCCTTTTCCTCTCTAAGATACAAATAACTATATATATACATTTTTTTCAAAGATTTTTTTCTCTCTTTATGATTCTTTTATCAATAGATAAATATTGTAGTATAAAAATTATTTTTATAAGAATTTTATATCGGAAAGAAATCGCGTAAGCACAGAGCCAGAGTCAATGAGAATATAAAATTGTATTGATTGTAAAAAACATTGTGTGTCATATGTATTATCCGCATTAAATTTTAGTGAGTTTTACATTTTACATCTTATTAAAGAATATTTCAATGAATTTTTTGTTATTTTGCAATGTTTTTCCCAATCAACAAGTATACGATCATCAGGTACACGAGCGAATATATAGATGTAGCTCGATAATCTGCAAATTTATGATTTGATACAATCCGCTTGGCACATAGTTCCGATGCATGGAACTTTTAATTGTTTGATTCACGGATCAATTCGTAGGATACAAATGTAATTGCATGTTCGTATAAATATATAACGTTTATATGAGATATGTAACGGATAATGCGATTGGACCGCATAGAGAACTACATTTCACCTACATTTCAATATGTCAGTATCAACCTACATATTTAAGGCGAAACAATTCGATCGGATACATCGATAAACAAATTAATTGAAATTATGGAATATCGTATCGGATAAATGATGGATTCAGAAATTCAAACATCATACTTTTGCTCTCTTTTATATTAGATATTGTTTATCTTAAAATAACAGTTATTGAAGATCGAAGAGTGGTATCGATTGCAGATTTTTCTCTTTTCTCATCGTAAGTGTAATTTGAAAACACGAGCGATAAAGACCTTCGCGTTTCAAATGCGAATACCTCGAAATTCCTTTGAAAGTAAAGTTTTGGTTGAGAACGGTTGACAAAGACTTTTCTAGTGCAAATACAAAATACAAGCAAGAATAATTGCAATTCTTACTCTTTCATTTATCCTGTAAATGGATCGATCAAACTTGAATACCAATGCCATTATCACTCTTGATCTCCGACACGATGTCGAATGTGGGAGTGCAGATGTCAGTGGGTGTGGGGATAGCGAGAGGCGCCAATCGCAAGTTCCTTTTCACTGGCGGATTATTCATGATGTAATCCGTGCAGCGTCTGAGGCATAATTTACTCGAATGCACGGCGGGTTCCAGTCTAAGAATCGCGCAGGATCGCGTTGAAGGGTACCTAACGCGGTGCACCGACTCTGTAGATCTACTTTGAAAAGCCGCCTCGATAGCGTATCTCTTGGGATCCATCGTCGGCATCGAGTTATACGCCGATGTGCTCCGTTCCGAATCGGGAGTAAAGATCGGCTCGTCACTCTCCTCGAAAGATGTGAATATGTCCGAATCGGGCATGGATGGCGCGCTAAAGAAGGATTCGCGCAGGGACGATGTCAAAGCGTCAGGACATACAAACGGATCCAGGGACGTAAGATCATCGTTGAGGTCGCTGCCGCTATTACAGATCTGAAAGTCGTTGACCGAATAGGACGACGGGAGCACGATTTGATGATGTTCTATCGCAGTCGGCAGGATCTCTTGACTTCTAGAAGACTCGGACCACTTGGAGTCGGATGGCCGTCTCGAGCTGAATCTAGTGGAGTCATGTTCCGTAAAGATGGGCTCCGGTAATCTCACGTCCCTATTTTTATCCGAATTCTTTAGCAATGCCTCGAAAAGATCGATCGGCTCTAACATCGATGCATTGCAGGATGAAGGATCGCACTCTTGACTCTGACAATGAGTATAATTGTCACTCCTGGACGGCTCACTCAAGTCCTCGATGTTTAACAACACGGTCGGCACTACAGGATCGGAATCGGGTCTCAAGAGATTGATTTTTTTACTTAAAGGCGATTTAACGCGTTGCGCGACAACATCCATGGCAGATCTTCCAGGTATCTCCAGACTCTGCGCCTCTTCAATCTGAAGAGGTGCCGAGGGGAGAGGATTTATGGGACTCGGCGGTTCCGAATGTATCGTAGGGACCACCAATGAATCCATCAAGTTGGAAGGCTCCAATAAAGTTACGCAACGGTACATCGTCGGATCGCTGATCGCGTTGATCGACTCGGAGTGCTTCAACACGTTTAAATCCCTTTGAATTTGCGTTCTCTGCGTAGCAAGGTCCTGTGATAATTCATTCGCGGATGTATTTGTATTTCTTGATGGTAAATCTGAGTTAATCAGATTGGCTAATTTGTTCGACGTGATGGTTATGCGCGGAACGTCCGACGATACATTTCGCTTCCAAGATTTTACGTCGAAGCTTTGTCGAACATTATCAGGCATTGTCGACGATGACGAGGAGTAACCTTTTCGCAGCTTAAGTTTCAGATTCGGATTCACGCGTCTAAAGTGACCGTAAAACTTGGAATGCGAACGGCAAGAAACGTTGTTGGATCTTGGTTGATTCTCCATATCCTGTTGACGGAGCATCATCGCGTGCCTCGCTAACGCACCCTTGTATCCATGATTAAGATTTTGCACGGAACAGCCGTGATTTTCCATGTCGTTGCATTCACCCGACTCGGTCAGGAGAATCCTCGTGTCCGCCTCGAAACTATGTACCGTTGCTGCTCTGAGATTTGAATCTGACATTGATGACAAATTTGGATTTGGACATTTTTGATAGAGGACGTTATTTACATGGCGCAATACTTGATTCGAATCCTTCGTATTTATTACAGGATTATTATCGGCATTCAGTGTCGGATCCGACAGAGCATTCGACTGAAGAAACTTACGATTACCATCGTGTGTGCCATCGCTCTTCAAATTTTGATAAGATATAAATTTCGGCTCCGAGATCAATGGCAAGCTCTTGCCATTTATTCGTTTGCAATTCAATCGTCGGAGATGCCTAATTTTATTGAAAGTGGGGTCTAACAGATACTTGAGATTTTTGAACTTGTCGATATTGTGATTGGAATCAATTACGTGATTCCGTTCGATGATGTATCGCGGATCAAGCATCTTTGTCAAATCGTTAATGTTTTCTTCGGTAATGTCGCCCGATCGGCTACTACAGGACGCAACGTGCTCAATGTTGTGCTTTTCGGACGAGATGTCGGTATGCCTACCCGATATTTCTAGGCCTCTCCTGCTGTAAAAGATGCCGTGATGTTTGACGGCGGCAAAGCAGTCCTCTACGGGCGGATGCTGTCTACTCTCGTTGCTGCTCTCTTCGTTGTTCACCTCGGCTAATTCGAGATTCGTGTTGGTACCGCCGCGTCTTGTCGGCGAACAACCGTAACGACCTGGCACTACGCCGAACAGAGCGACCAGATTTTCGGCGATTTTCCCAACAGCGACGCGCATTTCGCCGTGATGAAAAGCATAGATCCAAGGATTCACGCCGCTGTGTGCCAGTATTGGCAGACCCAACCATACCACTGCCCATTCCGAGAGAATGTTGGTGCCGCAGAAAATATCCAGCAACATACAAGTCTGGAAAAGAATCCGGGAATGAACTAGTCACTGTAATAATGAACATTGTGTTGGATGTCAGAGTCACGTTTACGAATTATTATGTGATTCTATTTATTTGCAGCTGCTAGAATCGCGATCACGTCATGACATGAAAAAGAAAAAAAGTTTTCACAGTCAATTTTTATTTACGCTCACGTTTTTCGCTCTGACGATTCTTTATATTGGCTTTATATCTTAATCTTTGCGACATGAACAGATAATAAAATGTGATGGAAGAATATGCGCACGCGCGTTTTTGTTATCGTAGTCACACATCATCTCTTAAAACTAAGTTTTATATAAAGCGTGTGATAAACGTGTTAGTTACTGTAATAAACGCTTAAAATCTAAATTCTTGGTCGTTGCGTAGGCGTATTGTAGCGACGATGTCGAATATACAAGTTTATTCGCCGTTTATATTATACTGTTTTATCAAATATTATATTAAACTTAAATTATAAACTATTAACTTTTATGTTTTTCTTTGTTATAGTTGATAGGAAGCGTGTAGCGATGATGATAGCAAAATAAAATTGATATCGTCGAATGTTTAAATAGTAAAATAGCAGTGAGGTTTTAATCGTCAAACACGGCATAATGTAAAAACAATTCAATTTTATTTATTATTATTATGCAGCTTGTACACTGAGAAAAAAATGCTGTTAAAAATTGGAAATAATTTTATTAATTCAATGACATTATTATTAATAAGTATACAATATCTCATGCTCTTGTTTTAATAATCAAGATGTTTGTTTCATTAATAACGTCACTGAAATGAATTAACAAAATTATTTCCAATTAGACTAATGCTGTTGATTCAACAGCATTTTTTTTTCAATATGGTTCATTCAAATTTTACACCAAGAAAACTCAAAAATTTTAAATTTCTTCACTGCTTCACGAAAATTTGTTCCGCGTTGCATATGATCGCATACTATAATACTCACTTGGAAGGGAAGCCACAGAATAAAAAACGCGCCAACCGTGACTGCCAGCGTCTGTCCATAGCGAGGCAATGCCAACGTCTGCGTTTGATGTCTGAACGATAATTCCACTGTATAAATTGCACGTGCGTGTGCACGAGCGACAAGGTAGACATACATATAACAACCAAGCAAAATTAGAGCGCTTGGCGCCCAAACCGCTACAACCAGAAACACCCTGACTGGGGGCAGCACGGCCACGTCAAATCTGCAGCTTCCACTGCAAAAAAAATTGAGATTAAAGATGCATTTAATCGCATACAAACTAAAATAATTATAATAATATTCGATAATTTTTCAGTATTAGATATCGATATCTTTTTTTCATTTACTTTTTCATATAAATAATTTTATTCCTTAACGTAAGATAAAAAGTCTAATGTAAATAAAATCTAAGATTTAATAAATCTGTAAAATTTATAAATGCAGTGTTCAATATGTAAATCTAACAAAATAAACATACAATAAGTCGGAGATGGAATTCATTCAAGTTTCTCGAAATTGTTTTGATCACTGCGATTACATCTCAAAGAGTTTAAGAATTTTCTAATTATCCTTTTTAATTACTGTTTCAATACGTTATTTAAGCAGTTGTGTTTCGAGCATATAATCTGCAATTTTACAAAGTGAAAAAGTGTGCTTTTTTGTTATGCCAAAGTGGTATGGTAGCGCAAAGCTAATATCGCGATAAACCCTAACAATGTAATTCAATACCTGATATTTATTTTTATGTTATATATTATATAATTGCCAAATAAAACCAATTATTATGGAAAAATTACATTTATATCCAGATTATATTGAAAGTTTATTAAATATCAAATTAATTGTTCGTTGTTTGTATGTTTGCTATCAAAGAATTAAATAGAATTGCAAATTAACAAAATGATAAATGGTGTGCGTGCGTGCGCGCGCGCGCGCGTGTGTGTGTGTGTGTGTGTGTGTATTTTGGGTTATCTTAATAAATTTATCCGAAATCAAATTTGGAAATAATTTAATAATTTATATAATAAAAATTAATAATAAAAGGCCTTAAAATTCACATAATAATTATTAAAAAAAAATTAAAATTGGACATCTATAATAAATTAAATAATTTGACTTATTAAGAACAAACACCTCTTTTCTAAACAACTTAATAGCATCACTAAATGGCTGTAAAATCCCTCCTACTCCAACTTAGGACCTTTACGTAATTGAATATATCCTAAAATTTTTCGCTCCAATAATGTCAAAAAAGCTACCCCAACTAAAATATTTACTAACATAATTAATTTATTCCAACAACATTCAAAAATATATATATCAATAAATTCTTTTTCTAAGCCGTTTCGATATCATTACGATTTATTGATCGAACTGTCGATTTGTATGTATGCTATAATATTTTTACAGACATTTATCCTAAATTTGTTTAAATATCGAATATCGAATAGATATTCCTATGATAATTACCTGTGTGACTGCACTTCTCCAATGATTTGAGCATAGATAAGAGGCGAAAGACCAATGGCGATCGCGTATATCC